TAGGGCAGGAAATCTACAAGATGAACCAGGGAGCTCTCACCAAGTCATAAAGTAAGGAAGTTGCCAACAGCTACTAGGGGAAAAGGACACAGGAGCCAACTTGAAGGGACATTGGCTAAAGAGGGACTAATTTCAGCATCAATAATAATAATAATAATGACATTTTATTGAAGCACATGTAATATATAAACTTCCATAATTTGATAATGACACACGCACACACCCATCAGGCACCTTGATAGGACATTAACTGCCTCTCAGTCGAGGAGTTGAAGAAAGGTCCTTAATAGATAAATTCCAGCTAATAAATGGAGAAGGAATGATATCTTTGGGAAGTCACAATTTTGTGCCTCTTAATTCGGTAATGGATGAATTTAATATCAAAGTTTAATAGCCAAACACAGTGTGCCACCTGGCATGATGCAATAAGAGATACACAGTGCCACCTATCACAGGGTTTTGCCAAAATAATTTAACCTGAATCTAATCAAGGCTGTAGCTATAACTCAATTTATGGGAAATACAGGAGCTAGAGGAACAAATGAGATGACACCATGAGGAAGCAATCAGCTTAAATCCTGATTGTGGAATATTCTGTAAGACAAATGGCCTGTTTTTATAAAAAATAAGTGGCATAAAAAAGGAGGTGGAGTGAGGCTTAACGGATGGAGAGAGACTTAATAGCCATATCAGCCAAATGCAGAGACAGCACTTTGTGTGCTGAGTCAAACCAACCAACTATAAAAAGACGTTTCTGGAACAATCAGGGAAATTTGAACATGCATGAGGAATTCAAAGATATTAAGCAATTAACAAAAATAAAGCAAAAAATCCTTACCTATCAAAGACAATCTGGTCCATATATATCTGGAATTTGCTTTAAATGCTCCAGCAGAAACAAAACAATACCCAGGCAAGGGTAGGCAGAAGAGAGGAAACAGTAATAACAAAATGTTAACTGTTAAACCCAGGTGTTAGGAATGTGGAAGTTCATTAAAATCTTCTCTTTATTTTGAGATACATTTGAAATTTTCCTTGATAAAAGATTTTTAAAAGGCAATCAGAAAGAAAAGTCCTGTCACCTACAAAGAAACAAAGTGACAAAGACCTCTCAACAGCAAGAGTGGAAAACAAGACAGAATAATATACTCAAAGGATTAAGGGGAAAAAACTGTCATGCTAATGTTACATATTCAGCAAAACTATCTTTGAAGAATGAGGTGAATTAGGGACATATCTAGATAAATAAAAACTGAGTTTAGCACCAATAAATCCATACTGAAGAATGGCTAAAGAATGTTCTTTCTTTCAGGTAAAAGGAAAATGATCCTAGAAGGAAGGTCTGAGATTCAAGAAGGAATGGTGAGCAAAGAAAATGGTTAACATGTAGGTAAACAAATGTTGTCTGTATAAAATAATTCTAATAGTGCCTAATTCATGGTGCTTAAAAACAGAATCAAAATACTAGACAACAGCACCTAGGAACATGGTGTGTCTCTCCATTTGTTTAGCTTTTCTTCTTTTCTCTTAGGTAATGAGAAAACGGTTTTACAATTTTCTTCGTGTAGGTGGTGTACTTTTTTATTAATTTAAATCCTAAGTTTAATATTTTTCATTTTTATTGTGTAAAATATAAATTTACCCTTTTATTTTTAAATGTATATGTATAGCATTTTGTAGTTTTTAGTTGCTATTGGAAATGGTATCTTTTGACTTTCGTGTTTTTAAATCACTTATTACTGATACATAGGAAAACTATTGATTTTGTATGTTGATCTTGTATTGGCTACTTGATTCTCTTGTTATAACAGTTTTTCAGTTAACTCTTTTCTAGGTACATAAGAACAACATCTGCAAATAGGGATATTTTTTTGGTTTCTTCCTTTCCAAATATTGTACTTTCTTTTTGTCTTGTCAAAGTAGGACCCTCTATACAATGTTGAATTAATGGTAACAAAAGTGGACATTTGTATCTCAGTGTTACATTTAATGGGGAAGCTTTCAACATTTTACCATTAAGTATGCTATTGATTTCTAGGAGTTTTCCTTAGTCATGGTTAAGGAAGATTTTTCTATTTCTAGTTTTCTAAAGCTTAATTAATTGTAATAAAAGCTGAGGTCCTATGTAGTTCAAAGGTGTGTTCCAGACAGATGTGTTATCTGGCCTCCAAATAGAAATCAAAACAAAATTTCTATTTGTACTCTTTTAGAATGTACTTTCCAAGAGCCTCTTTTTCTCTCCCCACCTCAATTTTCTTTTACTCTGGAGCAACTCTGGAACCTTCACACTCCCAGCCCCACAGTTTTTTGTAAGCCCCAGTACAGTGACCTCCCTTCAGCCCATGGATTTTCTTTCTCTATTTTTCATTATGTACTGTTTCTGTTAGGTACTTGGCATCTCTAGCTAAAGGCCTCACCTTCCCTCCAGCCTCTTGGTTTTCTCTGTTCCTGCTCTCTGACCATGCTTCATAAAAGACCATGGGACCCAGCTGGCAAAGTTTCTTCTTTAGGGTGCTGGCAATGGGGACACTCATCCACTTTTTTTTTTATTATTGTGGTATCATTAATATACAATCACATGAGCAACACTGTGGTTACTAGACTCCCCCCATTATCAAGCCCCCACCACAGACCCCATTACAGTCACTGTCCATCAGCATAGTAAGGGTCACTCATTCACATTTAAACTCTCTTCCTTGCGCCCACAGCACTCTCCTTTGGTTATTATAGGCACCTACCTGATAGCTCACCCCTCTCTTCCATGGCCCTTAAATATTCATGCGCTGGAGGCTCCGCCTTTGGCCTGTTCCTTTCTCATGCTCCCTGGGCTATCTCAGCATACACAATGATGACCCCAAATCTACATCTTTAACCTCACCTCTCCCCACAGCTCCAGAATTGTATACTAACTGCCCAGTGCACATCTGCCAGAGGATGTCCCTCAGGACCTCACATTCCATGGCTTCAAACCTCGCTCGCTCACCGTGACTACCAACACACTGCTCCTCTCCTGTATTCCTGAGTTTTGGATGTCATGCTTGAGAGAAACGTGGAAGTCGGCTCACTCTCCCTTACTCCTGCTCCCCACACTCAGTAGCTTGTCAGAACCTTCCCATCTTGTTTTACTCCCCGCTCCCCACACGGAGCAGAGGTAGGCTGGAGGCGCCCTCTGCTGGTGGCTTTAGGAACTACAATTCCTTAGAGCTGCTGGGCTCCCAAGCGTCGAGAGCCACAACAGGGCTTTTTTCCCTCGGGTCTCCACCGAGTAAGATTGCTTTGCCCCAGCCAGCAAGGCGGCCCCCAGGGCAGTCTACGAGCAGTGAGAAAACCGGCCATCCCCTCCTCCCCCAGGCCCTAGCCGTATTCACTGGCCCCACAGCTCTGTGATGCACACCGCCCCTCCGCTCCTTCCCCTCGTTGGTCCTCCTCTCCTAGCTCACAGCCCGGGATGGGTGGTAGCACAGCGGATGCGGGGTCGGGGTGCCTCCCGGAGGCAAGAGCCTCCGTGCATCTCCCTTGGGCTCAGCCAGTCTGTGCCAAGAGAAGGCTGAACATGCAGCCTGCTGGACCAGACTCAGCTCGAATGGACCTCATCTTGCCTTAATGTGTAGTAACAGGTGACCCCTTCTGATGCAGTCTTGAGGATCTACGGCTTCATAGGTGCCTCTACCCTAGTATGGAGGGTGGGGTCTGGGGAGGCGGGAGGGGAAGCCCTGCGCCAGGTCCCACCTCTTGGTGCCCTAAGAGCAGGCTGGATTTCATTCTCCAGTAGCATCTAATTAAGGTGTCCTGGGCTCACAGCTCTACTGCCCCTGAGATGTTCCTTAGTCTAATGGAGTAACAGACAAACAGAAGATAGTGGGGGCCGGTAAACTGGTTTTAGTGTCATTCAGAAGGTGGAATCAGCTGGACTTGGTGGTTGATTAAACTCATTAAATTAACATTAACTGAATGCTTCTGAGTGCTGGGCACTGTGTGGAGTCTGAGGAAGACAGGGAAGTAGCTTCCAAAATCCTAGCATGAGAAACTGAAATAGGGACTGGGAAGAACAGACTAGAGAGGCTAGGGAAGGGAGATGACAGGCCCTGTGTGGACAAGCTGAGCATGTGGTGCACTGAGACATCCAAGTGAAAGGCCCAGCAGATGGCTGACATGCAGGCTGGGGATGGGGTGCAGCATCAGGGAGCTGCTGGGACCTGGTGGGAGGAGCCCTGAGCAGACAGACATAACCAAAGCGGTAGGGTGAGAGGTTTCTGGAGAGGGGGTGTAGAGTGAGGACAGAAGAGCATCTACAGCCCCAAGATCACTGGCTGTGAAGAGCCTGCGAAAGAGGCCACAGAGGATTAGGCAGACAGGGAGAAAGTGTGTGGACAGGGAAATCCAGGCAGAGGGCGTCAGGAGGGAGGGAGCAGGCAAGAAGAGGAAGGCCTAGGGTAGTCAAGGGCCTGAGAAGACCTACTTGTGTGTGTGTGTGTGTGTGTGTGTTGCTGCTTAAGTATTTTGAAATAAATTCTAGACTTAATACATCTCTACAACATGGATATTTTCTTACATAGACATGATGCTATTATCACATTTAACAAAATTAATAGTAATTCCTTGGAATTCTCTAACACTAGATCATATTTAAATTTCCCCAACCATCTCAAAAATGCCTTTTTATAGTTAATCTGTTGGCATTAGGGCCCACAGAGTACGCTTAGTAATTGTGTCTCTTAAATTTCTCTTAGTCTGTCACAATCCCTCTTTTTTTGTTTTTCTTTGTACACTACTTTTAAAACTTTATAAATACCATGTAAATTACTTCATAATATTCACTTACATACATACAATAATTTACTTAACTATTCACCTAATGATAAAATTAATCTTCCAGTTTTTCACCAATAAACAATACCACAATAAAAAAGCCTAAATACATCAAAAATTAGACACAGCTGAAAAGAGAAATAGTGAAGAAAGAGCTGAAGAAATTACTTAAAATGCAACAAAGAGAAACAGAAGATGGAAAATGAGAAAGAGGGCTTAGGAGCTATGGGGTATAAAATAAAAAGGCCTGTCATTTGTTGAACTGATATCCCAGAAGGTCATTATGGAAAGAGCAATACATGGAAAAGCAATACATGAAGAGGTAAAGGAAGACTCTTCCAGAACCAATGAAATATATGAACCTGCAGATACAGGATGCCCAATATAATATGAAGCAAGATAAATAGAAAAAAATCCACCCAGATGCTTATAAGGAAACTGAAGAATACTAAGGACAGAGAGTGGTAAAAGCAGCCAGGAATTAGCATTTGTTAAATTTAGTTAAAATTCTTGTGATCTTAAAATTGAATTGGAAATATTGATATGAACTTGTGTCTTACTTTTCTTTTTAAACAATGTGTATTTTCCAGCTCTCTCCTCTGAAGAAATGACAACCCAATAGCAATAGCACCGTGAGGGACCAAATTGTTCTCTGTAAACACCATTTCCCACTAACAGAGATCAGGCCTCTCTGAAGAAATAGCTGATCCCAGTTCTAGGGCAGGAAATCTACAAGATGAACCAGGGAGCTCTCACCAAGTCATAAAGTAAGGAAGTTGCCAACAGCTACTAGGGGAAAAGGACACAGGAGCCAACTTGAAGGGACATTGGCTAAAGAGGGACTAATTTCAGCATCAATAATAATAATAATAATGACATTTTATTGAAGCACATGTAATATATAAACTTCCATAATTTGATAATGACACACGCACACACCCATCAGGCACCTTGATAGGACATTAACTGCCTCTCAGTCGAGGAGTTGAAGAAAGGTCCTTAATAGATAAATTCCAGCTAATAAATGGAGAAGGAATGATATCTTTGGGAAGTCACAATTTTGTGCCTCTTAATTCGGTAATGGATGAATTTAATATCAAAGTTTAATAGCCAAACACAGTGTGCCACCTGGCATGATGCAATAAGAGATACACAGTGCCACCTATCACAGGGTTTTGCCAAAATAATTTAACCTGAATCTAATCAAGGCTGTAGCTATAACTCAATTTATGGGAAATACAGGAGCTAGAGGAACAAATGAGATGACACCATGAGGAAGCAATCAGCTTAAATCCTGATTGTGGAATATTCTGTAAGACAAATGGCCTGTTTTTATAAAAAATAAGTGGCATAAAAAAGGAGGTGGAGTGAGGCTTAACGGATGGAGAGAGACTTAATAGCCATATCAGCCAAATGCAGAGACAGCACTTTGTGTGCTGAGTCAAACCAACCAACTATAAAAAGACGTTTCTGGAACAATCAGGGAAATTTGAACATGCATGAGGAATTCAAAGATATTAAGCAATTAACAAAAATAAAGCAAAAAATCCTTACCTATCAAAGACAATCTGGTCCATATATATCTGGAATTTGCTTTAAATGCTCCAGCAGAAACAAAACAATACCCAGGCAAGGGTAGGCAGAAGAGAGGAAACAGTAATAACAAAATGTTAACTGTTAAACCCAGGTGTTAGGAATGTGGAAGTTCATTAAAATCTTCTCTTTATTTTGAGATACATTTGAAATTTTCCTTGATAAAAGATTTTTAAAAGGCAATCAGAAAGAAAAGTCCTGTCACCTACAAAGAAACAAAGTGACAAAGACCTCTCAACAGCAAGAGTGGAAAACAAGACAGAATAATATACTCAAAGGATTAAGGGGAAAAAACTGTCATGCTAATGTTACATATTCAGCAAAACTATCTTTGAAGAATGAGGTGAATTAGGGACATATCTAGATAAATAAAAACTGAGTTTAGCACCAATAAATCCATACTGAAGAATGGCTAAAGAATGTTCTTTCTTTCAGGTAAAAGGAAAATGATCCTAGAAGGAAGGTCTGAGATTCAAGAAGGAATGGTGAGCAAAGAAAATGGTTAACATGTAGGTAAACAAATGTTGTCTGTATAAAATAATTCTAATAGTGCCTAATTCATGGTGCTTAAAAACAGAATCAAAATACTAGACAACAGCACCTAGGAACATGGTGTGTCTCTCCATTTGTTTAGCTTTTCTTCTTTTCTCTTAGGTAATGAGAAAACGGTTTTACAATTTTCTTCGTGTAGGTGGTGTACTTTTTTATTAATTTAAATCCTAAGTTTAATATTTTTCATTTTTATTGTGTAAAATATAAATTTACCCTTTTATTTTTAAATGTATATGTATAGCATTTTGTAGTTTTTAGTTGCTATTGGAAATGGTATCTTTTGACTTTCGTGTTTTTAAATCACTTATTACTGATACATAGGAAAACTATTGATTTTGTATGTTGATCTTGTATTGGCTACTTGATTCTCTTGTTATAACAGTTTTTCAGTTAACTCTTTTCTAGGTACATAAGAACAACATCTGCAAATAGGGATATTTTTTTGGTTTCTTCCTTTCCAAATATTGTACTTTCTTTTTGTCTTGTCAAAGTAGGACCCTCTATACAATGTTGAATTAATGGTAACAAAAGTGGACATTTGTATCTCAGTGTTACATTTAATGGGGAAGCTTTCAACATTTTACCATTAAGTATGCTATTGATTTCTAGGAGTTTTCCTTAGTCATGGTTAAGGAAGATTTTTCTATTTCTAGTTTTCTAAAGCTTAATTAATTGTAATAAAAGCTGAGGTCCTATGTAGTTCAAAGGTGTGTTCCAGACAGATGTGTTATCTGGCCTCCAAATAGAAATCAAAACAAAATTTCTATTTGTACTCTTTTAGAATGTACTTTCCAAGAGCCTCTTTTTCTCTCCCCACCTCAATTTTCTTTTACTCTGGAGCAACTCTGGAACCTTCACACTCCCAGCCCCACAGTTTTTTGTAAGCCCCAGTACAGTGACCTCCCTTCAGCCCATGGATTTTCTTTCTCTATTTTTCATTATGTACTGTTTCTGTTAGGTACTTGGCATCTCTAGCTAAAGGCCTCACCTTCCCTCCAGCCTCTTGGTTTTCTCTGTTCCTGCTCTCTGACCATGCTTCATAAAAGACCATGGGACCCAGCTGGCAAAGTTTCTTCTTTAGGGTGCTGGCAATGGGGACACTCATCCACTTTTTTTTTTATTATTGTGGTATCATTAATATACAATCACATGAGCAACACTGTGGTTACTAGACTCCCCCCATTATCAAGCCCCCACCACAGACCCCATTACAGTCACTGTCCATCAGCATAGTAAGGGTCACTCATTCACATTTAAACTCTCTTCCTTGCGCCCACAGCACTCTCCTTTGGTTATTATAGGCACCTACCTGATAGCTCACCCCTCTCTTCCATGGCCCTTAAATATTCATGCGCTGGAGGCTCCGCCTTTGGCCTGTTCCTTTCTCATGCTCCCTGGGCTATCTCAGCATACACAATGATGACCCCAAATCTACATCTTTAACCTCACCTCTCCCCACAGCTCCAGAATTGTATACTAACTGCCCAGTGCACATCTGCCAGAGGATGTCCCTCAGGACCTCACATTCCATGGCTTCAAACCTCGCTCGCTCACCGTGACTACCAACACACTGCTCCTCTCCTGTATTCCTGAGTTTTGGATGTCATGCTTGAGAGAAACGTGGAAGTCGGCTCACTCTCCCTTACTCCTGCTCCCCACACTCAGTAGCTTGTCAGAACCTTCCCATCTTGTTTTACTCCCCGCTCCCCACACGGAGCAGAGGTAGGCTGGAGGCGCCCTCTGCTGGTGGCTTTAGGAACTACAATTCCTTAGAGCTGCTGGGCTCCCAAGCGTCGAGAGCCACAACAGGGCTTTTTTCCCTCGGGTCTCCACCGAGTAAGATTGCTTTGCCCCAGCCAGCAAGGCGGCCCCCAGGGCAGTCTACGAGCAGTGAGAAAACCGGCCATCCCCTCCTCCCCCAGGCCCTAGCCGTATTCACTGGCCCCACAGCTCTGTGATGCACACCGCCCCTCCGCTCCTTCCCCTCGTTGGTCCTCCTCTCCTAGCTCACAGCCCGGGATGGGTGGTAGCACAGCGGATGCGGGGTCGGGGTGCCTCCCGGAGGCAAGAGCCTCCGTGCATCTCCCTTGGGCTCAGCCAGTCTGTGCCAAGAGAAGGCTGAACATGCAGCCTGCTGGACCAGACTCAGCTCGAATGGACCTCATCTTGCCTTAATGTGTAGTAACAGGTGACCCCTTCTGATGCAGTCTTGAGGATCTACGGCTTCATAGGTGCCTCTACCCTAGTATGGAGGGTGGGGTCTGGGGAGGCGGGAGGGGAAGCCCTGCGCCAGGTCCCACCTCTTGGTGCCCTAAGAGCAGGCTGGATTTCATTCTCCAGTAGCATCTAATTAAGGTGTCCTGGGCTCACAGCTCTACTGCCCCTGAGATGTTCCTTAGTCTAATGGAGTAACAGACAAACAGAAGATAGTGGGGGCCGGTAAACTGGTTTTAGTGTCATTCAGAAGGTGGAATCAGCTGGACTTGGTGGTTGATTAAACTCATTAAATTAACATTAACTGAATGCTTCTGAGTGCTGGGCACTGTGTGGAGTCTGAGGAAGACAGGGAAGTAGCTTCCAAAATCCTAGCATGAGAAACTGAAATGGGGACTGGGAAGAACAGACTAGAGAGGCTAGGGAAGGGAGATGACAGGCCCTGTGTGGACAAGCTGAGCATGTGGTGCACTGAGACATCCAAGTGAAAGGCCCAGCAGATGGCTGACATGCAGGCTGGGGATGGGGTGCAGCATCAGGGAGCTGCTGGGACCTGGTGGGAGGAGCCCTGAGCAGACAGACATAACCAAAGCGGTAGGGTGAGAGGTTTCTGGAGAGGGGGTGTAGAGTGAGGACAGAAGAGCATCTACAGCCCCAAGATCACTGGCTGTGAAGAGCCTGCGAAAGAGGCCACAGAGGATTAGGCAGACAGGGAGAAAGTGTGTGGACAGGGAAATTCAGGCAGAGGGCGTCAGGAGGGAGGGAGCAGGCAAGAAGAGGAAGGCCTAGGGTAGTCAAGGGCCTGAGAAGACCTACTGGACTTGGCCACAGGAAACTGGGGCACAGTATTTCTGAAATGATGCAGGCTGAAGGTGGACTACAGCAGACCCAGAGTTTGAGAGTGAGGAAGGGGAAGCAATGAATGTAGGCATTCTTGGGGAAAGAGGGTGTTGTTTGTTTTAATGAGAGATCTGAGCGCATCTGGGAAGGAATCAGGTAGGGGAAGTTGAAAATAAAGGACAAGAGGGGGTGATAGAGTACCTATTATGACATGTGACCCAAACCATTTGGCTAAAACTAATCTACTTTGTCATGAGATGGATTATTTAAATGTCCAAAAAGGGGTTGATTAGGTCAAATAAATGTCTAACAATATAGGATTTACTGCAAAATAATTGTCCAGTGAGAACTAATTGGAACAAAACCTCTAACAATAAAATTTTAAATGTTTACTTTTGTTGTATTTTCTTATCACAAAGTAATACATACTTATTTCAGTAAAAATCAGGAAATGCCATCAAAGTAAGGCCCTTAAAGAACACCCATAATTCCACCTACCCCAAGTCACTTATACTGGTTTTTTTGGTTACAGAACTTTTGCTATACATTAAATCATTATTCTGCAAAAACTGGCATCATATTATGCATATTAGGATATGTGTATTACTTCTCTCCTGCTGCAGAGCAAATTACCCCAATTCTTACAGCCTAAACCAACAGATATTTACAGTGACTCCTCATTATTCATACATTGTTTTTGTGAACTTACCTACTCATTAAAATTCATTTTAATCCCCAAATCAATACTTGGAGTGCTGTCGTGATCATTTGCAGATAAGTGCATGGCAGTGAAAAGTGAGAGCTTGAGAGTTGCCCTATGCGCACATTCTCAGCAAGGCTGAACAAAGTGACGCTCTGCCTTCTTTCAGCTCTCATACTCTAAACAAATATTCTTTTTGCAGTCTCTTTAGCATCTGTTCTTCACATTTTGGGAAATTTTGTTGGTGATCTGTTTAAAATGGCCCTAAGTGTAGGGTTTAAGTGATGTCTAGTGTTCTTAAGCACCAGAAGGCCTTATGATATGCCTTATGGAGAAAATATGTTAGATAAGCTTTTTTCAGATGTGAGTTATATTGCTGTTGGCCATGAGTTCATTGTTACTTAATCAACAGTATATATTAAATAAGGTGGCTTAAACAGAAACACATGTAAAACAAGGTTATGTATTGATAAGTTGAAAATGTGAGGCTCACAGGAACCCTATCTTTCCTCTGGGAGCAATGGTTCAGTAATCAAAAAGTCAGTGTTCTTGGTGATTTTATAGAGCATAACTGCCATTAATAACAAGAATCAACTGTGTTATTCTGTAGGCCAGCAATTTGAGAACAGTGTATGTGGGTGGTTTTGGCTCAGGGTATCTCATGTAGTTGCAATAAAATGTCGGTAAGCATTGAAGTCATCTAAAGGCCGGTCTGAGGCTGGAGAATCTGCTCCTAAGATGACTCTCCCACATGGCTGTTGGCAGGAGGCCTCAGTTCTTTGTCATGCAGGCCTCCCCCAAGGGCTTCCTGAGTGTCCAAGTGACTTGGCAGCTGGATTCCACTAGTGAGAGCACAGCAAGAGGCCGCATCTTTTATGCCCCTAGTCTTGGAAGTCTGCCCACCATCCCAAGTCAGTCACTAAGTCCAGCCCACATTCAAAGGAGGAGTATCAAAGAACTTTTGGACATTTTGGACATTAATTAATTAATTACCATAAAATATCTCCAAAAAAATATGCAAAATACTAATAATATTTGTTTCCCATGAGGAAAAGAATTGGGTGGCTGGGTGATGGGAGGAAGGGAGGATTTTACTTGATCCTTTTTATCTTTAGAATTTTTAACACTGTCTATTCATCATCCAAAAATAAATAATAGAATTTTAAATGACTCTAGAATGTTCCTTTTTTTTGGACCAAATTGTTATGCTGTTCCACTTAATTATGGCAAACTGGTTTCAGTCCAGCATAGTTGTTAAAATGAGACCTTTGAGAGGACTGGTTGGAGTAGGAGCACAGGCTGGGATTCCTGTAAGGAGGAAAGAAAGAGTTTGGCGACAGTTGAAAATAGTCCCTTTTTATGGTCACCATTTTCTTTGTGAAGTGAGAGACTTTGTGGAGGAGGTGGTATTTAGCTGAGTGAAAAAGGATGGGATGGATTTGACCTGGCTGAGATGAGGCGTGATGGCACTCCAAGCAAAGGGATGTGCCAGCGGAGCCGAGATGTGGGAATGAGGACGACACAGCAGGCCAATTGGGGGTCCAGGTGCACATGGGAGGTGAGACAGGCAGGTTGGGCCCAGTGCATGGAGGGCCTTGAATAGCAAGCTTGGTATCAGAGCTTTATTTGGAAGCAGTAAAGGGTTTAGATCAGAGCCTTGGCATAATTAGGACAATGCTTTAGGAAGATCAGTCAGTGAGCTGAGTGTCAGTTGCCTTTGGTAAGGTCTGAAGGCCAGACAGTGTGTTGAAAGACAATCACAAAGAGTAAGGAGCTGCAATGGTGTGGCTGCACACACCGGCTCCAGACTGCTTGGGGTGGGAGCCTGGGTCTACCACTGCCTAGATGTGTGACTGACCCTGAGCTTTAAAGGCTAATGGAATCTTTCTCACAAGGCTGTGTGAAGTTTACACGTGGTCGGTGATTCTTGCACAGTGTATGCGCGTTGGCCCTCATTGTTAAGGAAAGCGAGTCCTGGGGTGGTTGGTCATGAGATTAGAGGCGGAGAAACCAAGGGAAGGGCAGTTTTTGGTGACGAATAAATGGGAAGAGAGAGTGAAAGGACAGGGGATGACAATATGGGTATGGGAGAGGGACACAAAGTCTCCCAGCTTCCTGGTGGCATGGCAGCTGCCTAAGTAAAGCCAGGGCAGGTGGGTGAGGAACAGCTTTCAGGGGTAGTGAGAGTCTGAGTGGGGTTTGGGATGTTGGTCTCACAGTTTGGGCCAGAAATAGACTAGAGCTGAGCACAGAGGTCAGATCCATGGACATAAAGCTGCCTGAAAGCAAATGTGGCTGGTGTAGGGGCAGGAGAGAGCCCAGAGGGTCTTGCTGAATATCTGCAGTAGGGTTGGGAGGAAGGTGAGGGAACCAAGAGAGACCAGAGCCCCCGACGGGAGTCTCAAACAGAAGGGGAGACTCGGCAGTACTGCCTGCCTCAGAGAGACTGAGGAGTGAGTGAGGAGGGCTGGCAGTGACCTGGGACAGCAGTTTTATTGGTGTGGTGCACAGGCCGACCTGCTATGGGCTGGGAAGAGAGGAGGAAGAGAACGATTACAGCTGGGATGTACATATTCTTTTAAGAACTCCACCTATGTAGAGGGTATTATGCTCAGTGAAATAAGCCAGGCCGAGGAAGACAAGTACCAAATGATCTCATTCATCTGTGGAGCATAAGAACAAAGCAAAACTGAAGAAACACAGCAGCAGACTCGCAGACTCCAAGAAGGGACTAGCGGTTACCAAAGGGGAGGGGCTGAGGAGGGTGGGTGGGAAGGTTGGGAGAAGGGGATTAAGGAGCATTATGATTGGCACACATAATGTAGAGGGGGCACGGGGAAGGCAGTATAGCACAGAGAAGACAAGTAGTGACTCTATAGTATCTTACTACACTGATGGACAGTGACTGTAATGGGGTGTGTGTTGGGGACTTGTAATAGGGGGGAATGTAGTAACCACAATGTTGTTCATGTGAAATCTGGGCATAAGGTTGTATATTAATGACACCTTAATAAAATTCCTTTCCTTTAAAAAAAAAAAGACTCCGCCTATGATCATCCTGTAGTTGGACTCAATGACCCAGGAAGCATATATAAAGATGCATGTTACAACACTGTAATCCCCTCAAAACCATAAATAATCAATAAGGAGATGTTAAATAGTATGAGACAAAACTATATGAATTAAGAGGGTATAATCTTTAAAATCCATTAAGTAAAAAGGCAACAAAGCAAAATGTATGTATTATCTGATCACTGTATTTATTTTTAAAAGAATGTATATTCTCTCTCCTTCCCCCCTGGCCCCCGCCCCTCTCTCTCTCTCTCACATACACACACAGCTCTGGGGAAAAATACAAAATAAAGGGGATGGAGGTTGCCTGGGGAGCTAGAAAGCTGGAAATGTGATTTGCTCTCTATTTTTAAATAACTTGCATATGACCAAGCAATCCCACTCCTAGTTATTTACCTAAGGGAAATGACAATTTATGTTCTTACAAAAACCTATACACCCATATACACACAGCAGTTTTATTTATTACAGCCCCAAACTGAAAACTACCCAAATGTCTGTCAAGACCTCATGGATAAGCTGTGGTACAGACTGTGGTACAGCCATACAATGGAATACTACTCAGCAATCAAAAGGAACAAACTATTAATACATCCAACATGAATCAATTTCCAGTGCAGTATGCTGGGCTGAAGAAGTCAAACTCAGAAGGCTCCATGCTCTAGCAATCCCTTCATATGACATTCTTGGAAAAGGTAAAACGATTGGAAGGAAAACAAATGAGAGGGGGTGGGTGGAGGGGGACTGAGTGAAATGAGACAGGAGAAATTTTACAGGGTGATGGAACTGTTCTACATGTTGATTTAGGTGGTGGTCACAGGGCTTTTTGCATTTGTCAAAACTCATAAAACTGTATGCCAAAAGGAGTGAATTTTACCACATTCAAATTTAAATGCTGGGGCTATTTCCCTGGTCCTGGTTCTGCCCTTGTGTTGTTGTCCCAATTGAGGCAATTCCCAAAGAAACGCGGCCGTTTTGAAGGTCACTGTTAATACTTCAGGAACTGTTTTCAGGTGTCTGGGCACTTAACATCATGCCCTCGTGTTTAGAAGATGAGGACGTTGCAGACGCTGGCCTGGGGTGTGGGGAGGCCTCAGAGGGAGGAACCCAGATCAGGGAGAGTGGGTGGGGTGCGGGGGCGATGAGGGTGCCGACAGCAGGGCCGGAGACCGAGGGGGCGGGCTGACGGGGGAGGGGGGCTGACGCGCCTCTGGCCCAGAGGGAGGGAAGGGGCGCGGTCCCCACCTTCTGAGGGAGGTTAGGCTGGCACAGAGGGCGGGGGGAGCCTCTGCCGGGTCAGGGCGGGTGGGTCTGGCTCCGGGGGGTGTCGGGGGCGCGGGAGGCCGGCGCGGCGGCCCGGCCCCGGGCGCGGTCACGAGGGAGCGGCTGCCGTGGCTTATCGGCCCCATCGGCGCCGCCACACTCCATCTCCCCTGCCGGGCCGCTCCAGCCCGCTGCCCAGCCGAGGGGCCAGGGTGGAAACGGGCTCCCCGGATTTCATTCATTTCTGCAGTCGGTTGACCTCTGAAGCACTGCCCGCCCCGCCTCCAGAGCGGGAGCAATCAGGAGGGAGGGCTGTGCAGCAGTAATAGTTTACCTGGCCGCGGGCACCTTTCTCAG